TGATAATTTCAGAAGGCCTTCTACTGATCTGAATTAACAGGCGGCATCCACAGCCTTGCTTTCAAGGAAATGTGGTCAGGATTTAGCTCTTTGTGATGCTGGGCATTAGGCTGTATAACTTATAATTGATCAATATAACAATATAACAACATTCATAGAAGCATGACTTCGCCACAAGTGTGTGGAATCAGTACCCTAAAGTAGAGGCACCATGCATATAAGGTGATCATTGGGACTTCTCAGTTAATTTAAATTGCCCATCTGCTTTAAAACTCTTATAAGGGAATAATTAGGGGAGAAATCTAGGATGTTGCCATGTAATGTTTACCAGGTGATATTGTATCTTGTAACTTCAGTGGGCCTTGAAGGTTACTGGATTCTTCCTCACTGCATTTAGGTCTCAGTTAATTTTGCTTGCTTTTCAGAGATTACAGACAGAAAATAGACTTTTAAAACAGCGCATTGAAACACTAGAAAAAGTAAGTATTCTAGTCACCATTATCCTGTATTTGATGACAAATTTTACAATACCGGTGCAGTTCTGAATAGCTGTACTAATATGAATAGCGTGGCAAGCACAACACTGTTAATGTCTGCTTTATAGCAGTGTCATGATGCTTCTTCATAATTAGACAATTTAGGATTCTAAATTATGAGCACTTGCTTTCCGTACAACCGTAACTAAAGAAGTGAATTCAACAAAGCGTTCTGTGCCCCCTTAATAATTAACAGTTTTATTGAAGAACAATGCATTGGGTTTATGAAAAGTCAGACAATGAAACTGAAAGATGTATGTAATGGATTTTGGATGGAAGATCAGTGTCCTTGGACAATCTCCTTGTTGGAAGGAAGCTGGGACAAAGTTTTGCGCCAACGTTATTTTGGTTCTTTGCATCACCAAATGCACTGAAACATTAAGCCAGGTGTCAGAAATGATTTCGCACTTTGCATAACCACCGTATAGAATATATTCAGAAACTGAAAGCAAGTTTCTATTTATTTGTTTTTGTTCAGCACACCATAGAAACCACAACACATATACAGTTTTGACTTGCAGTCTTCTTTCTTAATTCAGTGGCATTCTGTTCAAGTTCAATCCCTGGGCCGAATAGTACGATGAAGTTGAGAGTGCTCATTCTTAATTTAGGTTAAAGCAGATATCTGTAACAAAGTGTGGTAGATAAGGGAAGGCTCTTAGTTTGGATTATGATTTTTGTTCCCAAGCAGGTTGAGCAGAACACCCATCTTCCTTACTTTTTTCACCAAAGAGCTGTGGAAAATAAGGGCTTCTCACTGTTTCTATTCTGCCTCATCTCAAACTGTACCTGGAAACATTTTCTTCCTTCTGGCAGTTCCCTCGCTACAAGAAGCCAAGTTACAGGGAACCAGGCAGAGGGCCTTCTCAGTAGTGGCACCCGCCCTGTGGAACACCCTCCCACCAGATGTCAAAGAGAAAAATAACTACCAAACTTTTAGAAGACATCTGAAGGCAGCCCTATTTAGGGAAGCTTTTAATGCTTAATAGGTTATTGTATTTTAGTGTTTTGTTGGAAGCCAGCCATATGGGTGGGGTATAAATAAATAAATAATTCTTCTTCTTCTTCTTCTTCTTCTCCTCCTCCTCCTCCTTCTTATCTTAAAGCCATTAGAGCTTCCTTCTTCTTATTCCAAGCATGTGGACACTACTAATCATTTGATGACTAGGGGGAAACAGAACTGCAGGGTGCCAGAATCAGACAAACTAGTGATAGACAAAACAGTCATCCCTTGGGTTGTTGAATGGTGGTGCTCAAACACTTCTTGAAACAGGAGAGTTGAGCATTTTATATTGTCAATTTTTTCTGAATAACTGAGACGGGTGTAATAATATGAACAGTTTATAAAGCGCCAAGGAATGTATTCTTTCATTATTATTTTTTTAAAAATCCCAAGTGTTCCATTTAGTATAGGCAATCTGTTAATTTGAGTAATTGCAGAGGCAGCGTTTGAAGCAAAAAACTGAACTGTGTTTGTACCTAGCTGTGTTGTGGGTGGGTGTTTTGGACGCCTTGGAAGAACTTCGGTTCCATTCTTTCAGCATCTTGAAAATATTTGAGTATATTTGTGGCACTGGTGGGAAAACAGTCTTAGGAAGTCATCTTCTCCTGAGGATCTGTTGTTTACATGTTGCATTGGCCTTGACTAGACAATGGGATAGCAAGCCTGAGGCAGCATGTTTGTCCTCTAAGATGATCCTCTCATTCAGTGTTGCTGCTTTTTTTTAGTCCCACTACCATAGTAATACTTTCATTACTCCGTTCTTTCAATGGGCAAGGACAGTTGGAGGAATAGGAGATCCCATTATCTTTATTTTCTTTTCGTTTTGCCTTAGTGATAAGGACGCGGTTCTCTTAAAAAGAGGAGGTTTCTGTAACATTGTCCTGTTATAGTCTGAGCAAGGTTGTGATATGTTTTTCTTTATTGTTCTGAATTCCAAGACAGTACAGAGTTGTTCTCAAACAAAATCCACATTGATTACTTTTCCAGTGCCCAGGAAATGATGGCATCCAAACAGTGCAGGTGATGGAAATGTCTAGTCCAGATCTAACCCAATCCTTCCAAAGGTTCTATAGACTGTTTTCCAGTCTGTTGCAATTGCCCTTAGCACCTAGAGACCCTGACAGCCACCTTCTTGCCAATGTGCCAACCTTACAAGACTTTAAGCTTGCTGTAGCACAACATATAAGCTTCTGGAGACTGATACTCGTTTGTTAACCATTGTGAGAGTGGCTGGCTATCCTTTTGGTAGAAGGCAAGCTTTCCTTGATCTCTAATACAGGTGTTTCTTTTTCAAGCATTGGGGAAACTCTGAAAGGGCAGGTTTTGTGTTTTTCTACACCCAAATCACTTTCTCATGGTTTTTCTTTGTCATATGAAAATTTCCTTCTGCCCAATAATCTTATGGTATTGTGGCCTTTCCCCTTGGCTTTAGAATACTTGTTCCCATTAATTGGACTAAAGAATACGCTGTCTATGTCTAGTAGATGTTGCATAGGAATAGATTGGAGTCCTGTTTCTGGTATTTTTTTCTAGGCCTTCAAGCCTTTTACAGCTACAGCTTCCTAGTTTTTGAAATTATAGTTGGCAGAAGTCTTCATTTGTGACTTAAAAGAGGAGTTCTCCCTATGTGGGGAGTGAAGTTTGGTCTTTTCCCATAAGTGTGGAAAGTGAACTTTTTCCAATGTGCATTCCTGGTTCCAAGGGGAACAGGACGGCCGTTACTGTCATAAAACAAAAGTAGGAAAGCAAGATGGAAATTCTGTTCTTAAACAAATCTCACTTCAGAGAACAATTGTGCGTTCAGCTTGAAGATAGTTTCCACCTAATTTATGCCAATTAATACAGTTCTACTTCGCCTGATACAGCTTCATTTGGCTCTTCGATGCAGCAATTTTCATGTGGATGTGTTAACAGTTTCTGCCCTCTCTGTGAATTTGTAAGTGCATTAAGGGAGGTGTAAACTAACTGATGTGTATGGGTTAAATTGTACCTTTCCAGGTTGAAAGCTGCCTGGATTGTTAGATTGCTGTGAAGATTCTAGTTTGCTGCAAAATCTGAGCAAGGGAAGATTAAACTGTAATAGCGTTAGTGATAAGAGTTGTCCGAAATCAGATCAGATATACTTTGCATATATTCACTGTTCTTTGTGCCTGACATTTTGCATCACTGGACTCCTGCCTTTTAAATACTGCTGTTGTACAAATGGCTCTGCCCCTTCACTAGCTGAACTTTGAAATGTGCTCAGATTATACCTCCTTTCACTTCACAAAGCTTGATCAAGTGAGCTCTACATGAATTTGCACACCGTATAATGTTTGCTCCATGCAATAAACTGCCAACTGAGAATTAAACATTAATTAAACTCTTTAAACGAATATTATTAAATTTGAAGCTCGGTGTTATTTTTCTGAATTAAGTCTTCTGCCTGTGCTGCTGAGATTTGGCTGTTAAACTGTACCACCTTTAATGGGTGAAGAAAATGAATATTTGGGAGTTCATTGCATATGGAAAGTTGGTAGAATTTGGGCATAATTCTCAACCATTGATTTTGTCACTTGGTTTTCCTTTTTTTTCTCTTACTCCTATCTGAATTTTTTTCCTTTTTGTAGGAAAGTGCTTCCTTGGCAGATAGATTGATACAGGTATATACTTCTTTAGTATCTCACTCTTTCTGATTCTAAAAAAAAACAGCTTTCTGTTTTTAATGCATGCATTAATAACTACATGCATTTTTACGACTGAATATCTACCCTCGTAAATTTAAACAACTGTAATCTAGCAGCTCTGTGTTAGAATAATATTTAGGCATATCTCTGCACGCTCATTCTAATGGCGCCCGAAATTCTGAGTAATTGCTGGGCTCTAATTCTGTTTCAGCACTAATTCTGTAGACCAGCTACAAAACGTCTAACAGATGTGCATGCACAATGGAGTAATATATGCATGAACAGAGTTCTGCTGAATGCGAATACACAATTGACCTTGCTGGCGGATACTAAAAGCGTTTAATGCGATGCAGTGCTAAACTGCCTTTACTTCGCTAAATTGATGTACTGGCTGTAACAGTTCTGTGATGATTTGCAAGATTTTAACCATATGGCAGAATAAATATGTAAAACTCTCGGTCTTCCCTGGATCGGTCCTCCAATTGCTTTAAAAAGAAAATTATGTCCTAAGGGACAAGTGACAAGGGCCCAGGAGGCTGAGGAAAACTACCTCATAAAACGGGAGCTGGCCACCATCAAACAGCAGAGTAATGAGGCCATTACTAAACTGGAGCAAGCTGAAAATACCATCAGGGAGCTCCAGCAACAGCAACAAGGGGTAAGGTACCTGATAGTAACCTAATCTCTTATCTTTCTCATTCACTTCTGGTTATTTCTGTTAGACATGGCATGATCTCTGTTCTGTTCCTCTTAAATATATTGCTTTCTGTGATATATGCATGGATAAAAATTAAGTGAAAACGAATTAGCCTGTTTTTAATAATTAGATTAAGGGGTTCCTAACCCTCTGGAGGTTGTTAGACTCCCAACTCGTATCACTAGCAACCAATATAGCCATAGAGATGATGGGAACTGAATGTCTTGGTGATGTATAAGGAACTTGAACAGAGGACACAGTTCAGTGCAAAACAGGACTCGGTTGGGTTGGAATAACCAAACCTTAAATCTGCTTAAAGGTGGATTCCTCCTCTATCCTTAGCCTGAGCTGACAGCAGGCCTTTAGGATGATCATCCTTAGCACAGTTTTCAAAATTTTAGGGCACCACCTAGTGGGGGAAAAAGAGAAATTAAATTTGACCACTTAGGCAGTAAGGCGATTGAACTTTGTGTGACTGACAGGTGAATGTGCTTAAGATGATGCTGCACAACCAATAATTTGACATTTTTATTTTTATTTTTTAAATAGATACCTGTGGTTTCAATCTCATACTTTAAAATACTGAGATAATGTCAGTATGATTGTTTCCTTGGGTAAAACATGTGCTCTCAATTCGCCTGGCTGTTGTTTAAGAAAATATTGTGTGTGTGTGTGTGTGTGTGTGTGTGACTTCATTACTGGAAGAAGAGTAATTAATTATGATAACATAAATGTTCCTTTCTAGCCCTTCCCTGAATAATAAACTTTATGTGAAAGGTCATTGATCTTGGTAGCTCTTAATTTTGTTCCATAATTTGTTTCTCACAAGTAATATTATTGGAACCCAACCAAAACAGGAAACTTCCTACTTTGTTCTTTAGCTTTCTTGTAATCAATAGATATGTATGGAATAATCCAAAAAATTATTTATGTGTTGAATATATGTCTTGTAATGAAATGTGGAATTAAAAACGACATTTTCATAGGTATTAAAATATACATGTAAATGAATACATCTGATGGGGGACAAGGGACGGAATAGAAATATAGCTAGTCTGAATAATTGATTTGGATTACTATAGTGTTGTGTTACTATTGTGTTGGAGACTGTTGCGCAAGTGTAAAGACAGAGGCTGTATTCCTGGGAAAGCTAAGGGGAGATTATTATACTCACCAAACATAAATTTCTAGGCTTTGTGTTTCTTTGCCCATTCTTGGTGGATGATTGTTACCATGAAATAATTTTGAATTGCTTGGTATTTGATATATTGGGGTTGGTGCTCCTTACTTATCTATAATCAAATGGAGATGGCCTTGGATAAGTCACTATCTCAAGGTGATTGGGAGAATAAGGAGGTTAAAAAGCAATTCTTACATACAGTGTGGATTGGGGTATAAAACAAAGAACAAGAAGAGGGGCCAGCATAGCTTTTTAAAAACAGCAACACAACAACACTGAGATTCTGAAAAAGCCCAATTTTTGGAACCCTTCCCATTTTTATCACACACTTCTCTAAAAGCAGGCTCGTTAAGCTTAGTTTCCAACAAACTGACTCTCAGACCTTCTGTCACTTGGGAGTGTATGCCACTGAAATTTCATTTAAACGGAGATTCAAGGTAAGAATTGTTATCTACTTAGGTGGCACTGCGATCTCCGCCCCCACCCCTGAAGCTCTATGAAATATTTTCTCTTTTGGAATGAGCGAAATGCTTCTTGATATGAGATTTTATTCGCTCAAAATGCTTCGTAGGAACTTTTGTTTTCAAATGTAAGGCAGTCCCCACAGCTTTAGAGAATGGTAAGTCCTGGGTAGGGACGCGGGTGGCGCTGTGGGTTAAAGCCTCAGCACCTAGGACTTGCCGATCGAAAGGTCGGCGGTTCGAATCCCCGCGGCGGGGTGCGCTCCCGTTGCTCGGTCCCAGCGCCTGCCAACCTAGCAGTTCGAAAGCACCCCCGGGTGCAAGTAGATAAATAGGGACCGCTTACTGGCGGGAAGGTAAACGGCGTTTCCGTGTGCGGCTCTGGCTCGCCAGAGCAGCAATGTCTTGCTGGCCACGTGACCCGGAAGTGTCTGCAGACAGCGCTGGCCCCCGGCCTATAGAGTGAGATGGGCGCACAACCCTAGAGTCTGTCAAGACTGGCCCGTATGGGCAGGGGTACCTTTACCTTTAAGTCCTGGGTACATTGTAGAAACACAGGTCGCTCAGCTCTAATATGCATTTCTACACGTGGAGAGTGTTGCTGTTTTCACGAGAAAAACAGGGCTTTTTGTTTTCTGATGATTTGCTGCTTAGAAGCGTGTCTGCTGCACCTCCCCGTACCTTTTGCTTGTACAAAAGAAACCTCACTCTGCAATCCTGTGCACCAGAATTGGGAAACCTCCAAATGTTGTCCTCCCATCAGCGCTAGCCAGCATTGGGGGGGGGGGGGAATGGGCCTTATCTGAGTAGGCAGGTACAGAATTGCAGTGTCAAAGTTAGTATATTTTCGATGCTGCTGTCTATACTTACCTGGGCCTAAGTGCCACTAACCAAAAGTAGGGTCTTCTGAGCAAACATCCTTAGAATTTGTCTGTAAACATAAATCAACGAAACACGATTCTATATGCTAAGTTGTAGACGGTAGTTTTTTGTTTAAGCAGTAAGTTTAAGTTTGCCAAAATAAGCTTTGCATATGTAAACACATTCTTTCTCTCCTCCCCGCCCTACGGGGAAAACCAGGAAGAAAATACTTACCCCCATGACTTACATGCCTTCGCTTTTCATACATCTTTCCATTAACCTATAGTGTAAAAACAATGTGCTGTTGTACTGTATTAAATTGTTCTATGCATAACCCTTTGGGATTCTGTCATTAAACTCTCTGGTTTATTGGCTGCGACTTGCAGGAAATGGTGACATCTTGAATGCGGCGATGGTGATATCGCTGGTGAAAGGCCTGAGGGAGATCCACCACAATAACCTTTTGGCTGGATCCTCAGCAACAGAGGCGCAAATGCAGATCTGTTGCCATGAAGGGTAGTTTCCAGCAAGTGCTCTGTGAAGCTCCATTGTGCTCTGAGGAGAATAGCTCTAGCGGCTTTGCCAAATAAAGATGGCCTGGAATTGCAAGGCCCAGCCTTTCATTAGTCACCACAGCAGACTGGCTGACTCAACGTGAACTGTACTTGGGAGAACACAATGACTTAATGGCTAGCTGGCAAAGTAAAAATATTTAATCCTTAAAATAGCCCCTGTTGTATCTTGAAGATTGGGTCTAGTTTGTCAACAGGGACAAACTTGCAGTGGCGCCACAAAACGCTGAAAAATTCTGACTCATAGGACGACCAAAACAAAACCTCAGAAAACTGGAGGTGTGTTTCCACAGCTTTAAAAAAAGCAACCTGCTGCACTACTTCAGGTTTGGGGTATTATAAAAATCACTGTAAAATAGGACTGGTTCCTAAGTTAGCAGGTTGTTGCTGTTTTTTAGTGTCTGCTCCCTAGTGGGAATAAACTTTGTCTGTGTGTAAGTCTGAATGAAAATGCCTGAGGGGGGGAAACCTTCATAGTTCACAGCAGCAGCACCCCTCCCCATTGCTTTCTGAGCACGCTTGCACTTTTAAGGCCACTGCTTCCTCTCATTTAATGCTGAACTTACTCCCTCCATATAGCAAAAGTGCAGCTCCCGCTATAGTGAAGACTTCGTCCTGCAGCTGGAGAAAGAGTTGGTGCAGGCAAGGCTGAGCGAAGCAGAATCCCACTGTGCCTTGAAGGAAATGCAAGACAAGGTTCTTGAGATGGAAAAGGCAAGTCCAAACCAGAATGCTTTGCAGAGTGATTTTAAGTGAATTTAACATAACATTCTGTAAAACGCAGGTCCCTTTTGGCACAACTACATTTAGCATGGGGAGGGCGTGTGTCCTACTCAGAAGCACAGTTGTTTGGGGCACAAGACGAGGTTTTTTCTATTGAAGCTCCCACTTTTAGGAACTCTCCCTAGAGAGGTTCTCTCTTTAAACTTCAGGCAAGCTGCTTTTAGCATGGACTATCGTTCTGCCTGCCTGTTTTATCCATATTGAATTTTTGTGTGCTGCTATTGTGCCAGGTTCAAGGTGGTGGTGTTGTTTATTGAACTTATATACCGTCCTATACTCCGGGGGTCTCAGGGCAGTTCACAGAATAAAATCAAGATATAAAACCACAAAATACCTAATAAAAATAAAAACAACAACCCAATAGCCCCCTCCAAAAAACAACAACAACATTTTAAAAGGCCATAGGATGTAAATCAGATCAACCAAAGGCCTGCTATTATTATCTAAAGCCCGTAGCAACAAAATCGCCTTACCCCACATGGGCCCATTTGACAGAATTGGCACATAAAACTGTTCTGCGTTTGTAAGAACTCGGGTCGTTTCGTGTGGCAGCACCTGCACTTCGGAACTCCCTGCCTATTGAGATCAAGCAGGCGCCTTCGCTTTACTCTTTTCAGTGCATGCGAAAAATGTTATTGTTTAGAGAAACCTGCCTAGATGGTAGATAGGACGCAGGTGGCGCTGTGGGTTAAACCACAGAGCCTAGGACTTGCCGATCAGAGGGTCGGCGGCTCGAATCCCCATGACGGGGTGAGCCCCCGTTGCTCGGTCCCTGCTCCTGCCAACCTAGCAGTTCGAAAGCACGTCAAAGTGCAAGTAGATAAATAGGTACGGCTCCGGCGGGAAGGTAAACGGTGTTTCCGTGCGCTGCTCTGGTTTGCCAGAAGCGGCTTAGTCATGTTGGCCACATGACCCGGAAGCTGTACGCCAGCTCCCTCGGCCAATAAAGCGAGATGAGCGCCGCAGCCCCAGAGTCGGCCACGACTGGACCTAATGGTCAGGGGTCCCTTTACCCTTTACCTTACCTAGATGCTTAGAAAGTTGAGATAACTTTAACCCGTTTTAATGTTTTAAATTTTGTATGTCTTAAAGTAGGTTTGTATTCCCCACCCCCCTTGATTTTTATTGTTTTGTCTTTTTGTAAACTGCTTTGAGTTTTTACTTTTATTTTTTTACAATCAAGCAGTGTATAAATTTTATGAACTAACTAACTAATAGGCTAGCAGGTCCCCTTTCCTTATATAATGATCCTGCTCAAGATAGAGAGTTTTGTTTCACTGAAACTTTAAGCCCATTGATCCAATGCATTTTCATTTGTGAAGATTTTAATGTCCTTCAAGTTTGGGGGGTTCTTTCTGTGCTTTGTATTTCTGAAATGCCACCTCAAACGTATTACGCAGTTGCAAGAGGTTTGAGCTAGATGACCCTTGCGTTTCTTTCCCTTACGTCACGTATCGTTTAATGCAAATAGCCTGCCTTATACTCTCGGTTTCTTAAGAGCTTGCTTTGTTTGCAGAGGAACAGCTCTTTCCCTGATGAGAACAATATTGCTAGACTTCAAGAAGAATTGATTGCAGTGAAACTAAGAGAAGCAGAAGCTCTGATGGGTCTAAAAGAACTTAGACAACAAGTCAAAGATTTGGAGGAACACTGGCAGGTAAGGCTATAGACCTAGCCCTAAGACCTAGGGCTAAAGTTGATTCAACAATGCATTGTGTAAACTGGACTTGCAGAGAGCTAGTGTACAAGAGGGATGTTTGAAGAGGCTGGGGATCATGAGAAGAGACAGCAAGTGAATGAGTTCTAGTTGCAGAGAGCCCCTGCCATTCATTTTGATCCCCTGTTTAGCAAATGCAGGTTTTTACATTTGCCTCTGCAGCCGAGATAGCTATAAACTTTCTGCGAAATATGCAGTTTTCTGTGTTAGCAGAATGTCTTGAAGCTTATTTACTCAGAAGTAACTGCCACTGGAGGAACGAGGGTGGCGCTGTGGTCTAAACCACTGAGCCTAGGGCTTGCCATTCGGAAGGTCGGCGGTTCGAGTCCCTGCGACGGGGGGAGCTCCCGTTGTTTGGTCCCAGCTCCTGCCAACCTATCAGTTTGAAAGCACATCAAAGTGCAAGTAGATAAATAGGTACCACTCCGGTGGGAAGGTAAACAGCATTTCCATGCGCTGCTCTGGTTCGCCAGAGCATGCTGGCGAGATGAGCGCTGCAACCCCAGAGTCGATCATGACTGGACCTAATGGTCAGGGGTCCCTTTACCTTTACCTTTAACTTCCACTGGGTAGTTCAATGAGAGTAATGCCCAAGCAACTATACGTTATAATCTTAGAGTAGCTTTTAGTGATCAGTTGCCAAGGATTTCAAATAATGCTGTCTTAAGCAATTTAAACCTTATTTAGGAGTGAGAAAATAT